ATTATTGGGTTGTGGTCCATTTGGTTCTTGTATTTGAGAAGAGTTTGTTTGACATACATAGATGTCCCATTGTTTGGGGCATAGGTATCTATGATTGTTATGTCTTGTTGATGTATGAATCCTTTAAGCAGTATGAAATGTCTTTCTTTATCCCTTTTCACTAGCTTTGGTTTGAAGTCCACTTTATCTGATATGAGGATGGATATTGCTGCTTGTTTACATAGTCCATGTGAGTGGTATGTTTTTTTTTCCCACCCTTCCACCTTCAGTCTGTGGATGTCTTTTAGTGAGATAGTCTTTTGAAGGAAACATATTGTTGGGTCTTTTTTCTTTAATTGAATATGTCAGTCTGTGTCTTTTAATTGATGGAGTTGAGGCCATTCACATTCAGGGTTATTTTTGAAATATGATTTGTATTCCCAGACATTTTGGGTTATTTTTGTTTTGTTTTTTTTATCTTGACTTGGTTTGACCTTGATTGGCCTTTCCTTTAGTGTAGTTCCTCTCTTTGCTGATTTTCATTGTTGTTTTTCATTTCCTCCTCCTGGAATATTTTGTGGAGAATGCTCTGTATTGCAGGCTTTCTCACTTTAAATTCTTTTAACTTTTGTTTATCATGAAAAGTTTTCATTTTGTCACCAAATCTGAAGCTTAATTTTGCTGGATATAAAATTCTTGGTTGGCATCCATTTTCTTTCAGAACTTGGTTTACGTTGTTCCAGGATCTCCTGGCTTGAGAGTCTGGGTTGAAAAATCTGCTGAGATATGAATTGGTCTCCCCGATATGTGATCTGATTTCTTTCATGTCTGCTCTGAGCCACACTAGCAGCAAGATCTTACTAAAATAATATCTATCTATCTATCTATCTATCTCAATGTTATTATAACATTTATACAAATATGTATATACATGTATATCATATATGTTTAACCATATATATGTACCTATATATGTTTTATATATATGTACACCCACATATATACATATTTGTGTGTGTGTGTGTATATATATATATATATACACACACACACACTGTAGCACTTCTCTGTTTTATCATCCTCTTGTCACCTTAGGATAAAATCCAAATTTTACAGCGCAGTGTTCACAAGCTTTCCTGATGTGGTCTCAAGTTGTCACTAGAGCTTTGTGCAGGACAATCGCTTTTAAGTATTTTACTTTCAAGTCAATGTACTGTTTACCTTTCCTGCCACTTGGCGAGTTGTTTCTTATTCTTCCTCTCCCACCTGTGGCCTTTTCCTACTTAGTAGCTAGTTTCTAACTGAAGGTTCACGGGTTCCATCTTTTTTTAAGGAAGATTTTCCGGAAGCTACTCTATGTTTCTGTAGCACCTGACCTTACTATTTATACAGCACTCATTACATTGAAAAAATGCAAAAGAGAATATAGACTTATTTTCCTCTTATTATTGACTAAAACAATCAAGCATTCAAGATATACTTAGTTAATATTAGTTAAGTGGACTAAATGATTTTTCTAATGTATTTTTCTTAAAGAATAGGGGTGTGGTCATGATTATATGTATGCTGTAGCCTTAATGGGAAGACTGGAATACACAGGAAATGATTGCCCCAAGCCACTTAGGACAGATTCCTAAGTCACCACATTTGTACCTTAGGGTGGAAACATTTGAGAAGATCATGGCTGGTTACGGATGGGTAACTGGGGGCATAAACCAGAAGAGGAAACAAACTGGAGTCTGTTTATTAAGTGGAGTGTAATTTACTCTGACATAACTGCATGTAGGTGATAAGGGAAATAAGAAGGACCAGTAATGCTAGGTGTCTCGCTGTTACAGTAAGCGTTGCTCTATTTCTTACTTGAAGTCATTTTTAAAAAGGAGAAAAAAAAATAAACATTAGATCCAAATATCTGATTTGTGTATTTTGAATTTTAGAGACTGTGGGAGATGACTATGTAGGATTTTTTTGCAACATTTTTCGGATTAAATTGAAATAATATTAAATTATTGGACTATGTAGAAATGATAATATTAATAATTGTGATTTGTGTGTCATTTACTGACAAGTAGAGATGACTTTTCATTTGCCTTGTTTGTTCAGTTTGGTTTATTATACAGGAAAATTTAAAGATACAAGTGTTACGTTAACAGTTTGTGTTGCAATTCTAATAATGTTTTTCATAAGTCAGTGTTATTGGGAAAAATGAAAATTTTGCTAAAGGAATGATTGTCTTCATTTATTTCCTATACATCTTCAAATTGTATGAGAATGTCATAAATAGTGGCAAAACAGTATCAAATTAAACATACTAAAATTTAAAAAAAAGCATTTGAATTGGACAGCAGGATTTTATATTAAAATGTAAAATAAAAACATGTTCAAAAGAGCAGCTCATAAGCCAATCTCATTTTTTGAAAGAATATTCTAAGTGTTCTTTCTATGAACAAATATAATCATGTCACCCTTGCAATAATAGATCCAGTGCAGAATATATATCATTTTCCTGCAAAAAGAAAGACAGAAGTAGGCACAAGTTCATTCTTGTTTTTGATGTGGGTATTTTTCTGGGCTTCTTTATTCTGTCACATTGCATAAAATATTCTACTTTGAAAAGTATTTCCTATAGTAAGATCAAGTTTCAGTTAATCTGAAATGCAAATAAAAGCTCTGGGAATGTTAAGTTGAACTGACCATTTTGAGGAACATGTTAATTTTTTTGTACTGGGGATTGAACTCAGGGGCACTCAACCAACCAGACACATCCCCAGCCCTAGTTTGTATTTTATTTAGAGACAGGGTCTCACTGAGTTGCTCAGCGCCTTGCCTTTACTAAGGTGGGCTTTGAACTTGCAGTCTTCCTGCCTCAGCCTCCTGAGCCGCTGGGATTACAGGTGTGTGCCACTGAGCCCAACTATGTTTACTTTTTAATAATATTTTAGAATATGATTTATTGAATATTTTGGTTAACATTTATGTTATCTTGGATAGCTTCTCTCTAATTTTTTAGATTAATATTTGTCACAAATTACCCTCATCCTGAAAAGAACTAGTTTTTACCCCCCTTTTCTTCTTCCCTAAGACAATAAACAAGAAAAATATAATCTTGTTTATTAAATCACTCTGGAAATCATAACATGGTTTCATGGTTTTCTTCTCACTATGTATCATGTTTAAAATTCTCTATCCTCAACGGACAGACCTTTTTTCATAGCTGGCAGTATAGGACAAAGCAGTCTTTACATTTTGAGGAAAGATAAAATGAATTTTATCATTCACATACTCCAAAGTCTAGTGATCAGTAAGAGAATACCATATGATTTAGCAAATATCATCAGACTGGAAGGGCAAATATTATTTGTCTTTAATATATAAAGTATCGATATGTGGCCTTGAAATATTTTAGAATATGATTTATTGAATATTTTGGTTAACATTTACTTATATTTTAATTTATATTGCTTATATTTTAATTCAGATGTTTAAATTGCAGTCTTCTGGGGCAGATGCTCTTGATGAACTGCCTATATGCTGTTCCCCTTAACACTGCAGTTCACACTGGCAGAATCTCCATTATCAGATATTCCTGCATTTGGGTTTCTTTGACTACCAAAGACAACTTTGCCAACCAAAGCAGGCGGGAAGTCTCAGGGAATTAACACCACTGGGAGCATGACTCAGCTAATGATTAATGAGGGTTGGTGTATCCCAATGCCTACTCTTTCATTTTTCAGGTGAGATGTATCTGTCTACACTGGGTATCAGATTTTCCCCAGCCAGTTTACACTGTAGTTGCCAACAGTGTTGATGGACTTGATGATGCTCTCTCTGTTAATAAGAGGCCTTACAGTACTTGTCTCACTTCTTTTCTCCCTACTGGTGTTTCCTGGGATCATCTCACAAATAAATTGTCTTGTAATTGAGTTGTTACATCAGGATTTGCCTCTGGGGGAAGTTAAATTAAGATCTTTTTAAAGCTCTGATAGAAAAGGAAAAGAAAGTGAACAAATAGATAAACAAGTTTCTAAAGAAGATTGCACCTAAGATGAAAGAAGAGTTTTCAGTGTATGTATGTATATATATATGTATACATGTATATATATATATATATATATATATATATATAAATCTTAGATACAAACACAGAAGTAGGAATAAAATAATATTTGATCTCACTCTATTATTGAAGAAAGTAAAAAATGTAGGTATGGTGTCACTGATACTCATATCATGGTGGAGGCAAGACAAATTTGTGTGTGTGTGTGTGTGTGTGTCTCTCTCTCTATATATAATCTCCTTATTTTTGCCAGAAAAAAATGGTGTTTTGGCAAGAAGAGGTATTATTCTGTGATTTTTTTCTGCTACCATATGGATTTTTGTTGGAGGTACATTTGAAGTGACTGAATTAAGGGAAGACCATTTGTGTTGTTGTATCTACCTGGAAAGTCTTTTTCATTTTGTCTGTTGGGATGAAAATTTAAAAGTCTTAACCCAAACTATCTGTTTTGGTTTTAACATGTTGATCAATGGAAGGATAACTATCTAAATGCCTTTTTATCATAATTGAAGTGGAATGAAAATAAATCTTTGCTTTTTCATATTCTGTATCACTTTGGGAATCATGAGCAGGTTGTGAGCTCAGTTAGTCTAATTAGCTACTATGTGAAAGAGATAACTGAGCTACTTACACAGCTCAAGGGAGAGAGGCATTTATAGTCCACCAACTACCACTGGGTTATAACAGTAACATACCTACGAGTTAAAACTTTAACTCACTAGGTATGTGGCAGTACTGCTACTTGTCATCATCTAGCAACCTGCCACTCTATCTTTTTAAAAAATATGTTTTATTATTATTTCCCTACCATATGGAAACTTTCTTGAACTTTCACAAGAAGTATAATTAAAATTTTAGAAGATATAATGTACTCTCTAAATAAAAGAATGTAATTACTGATGAATTCTATTAAGCCCAATTTTAATTTCATTTTTATTGTATTTATTTTATCTGATATACATAGGAGAGGAAGTGATAGAAGAAGAATTCTGTTGGCAGCTATATGATTGAAGCTACAAAAGGCCAAGTGTCCATATATTCTTTCAACTATATTTGAGCATATTCAGGTAAGAACAAATCATTACTTATATACTATTTCTAAAAAGATTATTAAAGGAAAATGATAAAATACATTAAAGCAAAATAAAATTAAGAGCAGATATAAATGGGGTACCACAGTGCACCCCTGTAATCCAAGCAACTCAAGAGGCTGAGGCAGAAGTATTAAAAATTGAAGGCTAACTTAGGCTACTTTGGGAGACTCTGTATCAATTAAAAAAAAAAAAGAAAAAGAATGGCTAGGAATGTTGCTCAGTGGTAGAGTACCCTTGAGTTCAATCCTTGGTACAAAAAAAAAAAAAAAAATCAAAACAAAACACAAACAAATACCTTTTTTAAAAAATAACATTTGTGGTTGTTCTATGTCATTTGATTTTTGCTTTGCTGGTTTTCTTTTTTAAACCAAATTGAGGTGATAAATTATATTTTTGTATCTTTGTTGATAATATTATGGTTATTTTTTTTATTTTTTTTTGTGCTGTGTGCAGGTCAAACTCATGATAGAAATTTACTCTACCATTGAACTATACTCTAAGCTTTCTTTATTATTTTTGTAATACACCTACTTTGTTCTATTCTTTGGGAATGTGAATTTATGTTTCATATTTTACACTGTATCATTTGACATATAAATGATTTTAAAATATTTTAGGGTATGTTCTGGGTGTGGTGGTGCACGCCTGTAATCCCAGTGGCTTGGGAGGCTGAGGCAGGAGGATCTTGATTTCAAAGCCAGCCTCAGCAACAGCTAAGCGCTAAGCAAAAACTCAGTGAGACCGTCTTTAAAACACAAAATTGGGCTGGAGATGTGGCTTATTGGTTGGGTGCCCCTGAGTTCAATCCCTGGTTCCCCCCCCATCACTGTATATGCATATTTAGGGTATATGTCTTTATTATTCAGTAAAAACATAGATAAAGTAGAGTTATTATTATCTTAGTAGAGTTATTAAAATAGCATCACTGAGTCAATGATTATGATGTTTTAAAGGCTTTTTGTTGTTGAGTTTACCCACAGAAGGTAGAAATTGTTAAAGTTGTCCTTACTCAGTTTTGAAGACTGTTGAATTATTGACTACTATTTTATCATTCAAAAATTTTTATTAACTAAACTTACTTTGGATTGAAGAAAAACTCAAAACTAGGATTTTAAATTTTGATTGAAAACCGTAGCTTTCTCCTAGTCAGATATATTTAACAAGCATATTCCCTTATATAACTAAGCCTAGAAGAAAAGTGGCTATATATATATGCATAATCTTTCCACATGACTGAAAATGCAGTATTTGTCAATGAAGACATGTATCCATTTGTTTAACTGATGTTTATTGAAAACTTAGTGTGACACTAAACCTAACCACTGTGATTATTGAGCAATGGGAATGGTGTTAGTTGAGATTAGGGAAAGAGAAGCACAGAAATAGTTCCTTGTTACTTTGACTTTCAATAAAACTATGATAAGATAAGAAACACATTTCAGTAATTCCAGTAGAGGCAGAGTGTACCAAATGCCACAGAAGAAGTAAAAGGAAAGAACAGTTGCTGAAGTGAGGCCTCTTCACAAGTGGGAAGCCAGATTTCCAGAATAAGTAGGACTGGTAGTTAAAAGAAATGGAGAGTCAATTCAGAGCAAAGGGCAGGGCCGGGAAGGCATGGGGGATTATCAGGAAATTAGACAGATAGAGTAGAGAGAGCAAAGTAGTGGGGAGTGTGTTCTCTGTTCTTTGATTTGGGTTGATATACTTTGGAATTTGTATTTCATCATTAGATAGCGAGGACTAACTTTTTATAGTTTATATATATATATATATAAACTATTAAAAGTTATATATATATATAAATAATATTGTGTTCATCTACATATATATGTATATATTATTATATATATAAAACTTATTTATTTATTTAACGTGGTGCTGAAGATTGAACCCAGTGCCTCATGCATGTATGTGAGGCAAGCACTTCACCACTGAGCTACAACCCCAGCCATATAATTATTCATTTATAGAATCAGATGATCTGTGCTACCCTAAATAATTAAGAATTAAGAATTAATTTAGTGATACGTGTCTTAAAAGAACAAATAGAACCCAGATTAAAGAAAGGCAGAGTAATTTGTAGACTTTTCCTTCCTTGAAATCACCATTGGCTGAACACTTGCTATTTGCCAGGCACTAAACCATGAACTATAGAAAAAAAAATGAAGAAGACATAATCCCCATCCCAGGAGGTTGTAGTGTATTGAATGAAGCATACATGATGAACAAATGAATATAGTTCAACATGACACTTTAAGGGTAGATTCAGATTCAAGGAATGGCTAGCGGCCATTTGGGTATTTAACTTCCCAGTGGAGCTGCATGTTTTATAACCAAATCTGGGAAGTGTCGTCCCATCTGTAGTGAGTTTCATGTTGGTTTCCAAACAGATTCTCAAGTCCTAACTTGTGAATGTAAAATTATTAGACAGATAGGGTATATATAATTAAGGATCCTTGTATGTGATAATCTTGAATTAATCAGTAGAACCCTGACTCCAGTGACACAGGTCCTTAAAAGATAAAGAGAGGGGGAAGTACTGGTGAAGGAAATCTTCCATATTATGTTATGTCCATGTACAAATATACCACTCCTGCTTATATATTTAATTATAATTTACTAATTACAACATCAGTAACAACAACAGAAAGGAGTTCAGCAGAGTAGAACAAGTAAATCAGGTGAACAGCAAAGGATAGTACTGGGGAATGAGATTGATCAATTATAATTTGTGCATATACAAATATGGCATAGTGAATCCTATTATTTCTAATTATAATGTACCAATAAAATAATGAAAGATATAAAAAAAGAAGGCCATGTGAAGACACTCAGGGACTTCAGATCTATTACCTGTTGATGTAGCCACATGCAGTGGAGAAGCCACCAGAAGCTGGAAGACAAAGGAGACATAACCTCGCCTTTAGTTTACTGAGGGAGTGTAGCTTTTTCAATACCTTGATTCAGACTTCTGGCTTCCAGAATGACGACAGGATATATTTCTATTCTTTTAAGGCAGCCAGTGTATGTGTGGTAATTTGTTTTGGCAGCCCCAGAAAACGAATATACCGCTGTTTCTGTAGTCTCCTATTATTTTGAAGTAAGTTACTGAGTCTAGATTACATTTCAAGAGCACAGGATCACAAAGGGGCAAGAAAAATCAGCAGGCAGAGATTGCTGGAAATCATCTTAGAAGTGACCTGTTACGTTTGACTTCGCTTCCGGCTACCTCCATTTGTATGCTGTGTCTACACATGGAACAAACTCAGTAGATCAGAGGTTAGAATCATTATCTCACATTCTCAAAATCATGATCTTTCATCTGTATTTACTGCCTCTCTGATCAGAATTACTATTCACCTGAATAATCAAATTGGAAAACTTAGAGTCAAGTAAAATTTCTTCTCATTTAAAACGTCTGTCCTTACATTGATTAGCCATTCTTTTTCATTCTATTCTCTGAATTTTTATCACTTACAACTCCTTATTTTTAATGTCTCACTGTTTTCAGGCTTTTATGATAGCTTCCAAATGTAGTTTAATAACCCTTAAATGTTCAAGTCTTTCTAACCCTTTCCTCTTCAAATCTTTCCTGCCAAGTGGATATGAAACCCACATGGGATAAGGTCATTACTTTTACTTAACATTTTTCTTTGGGTCTCTCCCTTCTTTATAAGCCAGATGACAGTTACTTAGCAGGAAATAGTCCCTGGTGATCTGACTTTTGACTTCCTGATTTCAACTTTATATTTAATCATTACTTCACATACATCTATATAATTGTATGAAATTGCAAAACATCTTATGTTCTCTATTTTTTGGTTATACAATCTCTTTTTCTACTGAATAGGTCCTTTTTAAGATTCAAAATACCTAGCAGGATGACTAATACTAATGGTCAGAACAAAATAGATTTTTATCCATTTAAAACTAATGGAAAAGATGAAAGAGTGGGAAACAGAAAACTCCTAAAACTCAACAAAATTGCTAAACTTTTATACTAGGCTAAACTGGAAATAAAGAAAAGAGAAAGGGATTTATGGACTGATTATGGACAAGGACTGTGAAATTTAAGGATAGGGTTAAAGGAAATATAAGTTCAGTGTAAATGTAGGAGAAGTAGAAAGTAAAAAAAAAAAGTTTACAAAAAGAGAAAATTTTGATCTTAGATTATAAATATACTTTAACCAGATGAAGACACATCAAGGAAACAAAACCTCAGACCAACATCTATAGTGAACATAGATGCAAAAAATCTTAATAAAATACTGACAGAAATCACATACAAAAACACATTAAAAAGATAGTGCACCATTATCAATTGAGGTTTGTCCAAGGGATGCGGGGTTGGTTCAACAAATGGAAATCAATAAATGTAATTTTTCACATCAATAGACTTAAAGATAAGAATCACATGATTATCTTAATAGAAACAGAAAAAGCATTTGACAAAATATAGCATCCATTCATGTTCTAAATACAAGAAAAACCAGGGATAGCAGGAACATACCTCAACATTGTAAAAGCTATATTTATTAAATCCATTCTAATTGGAAAAAGAATTCTCTCTAAAAACTAGAACAAGACAGGAATGCTTTCACCACTTTTTTTAAATCTAGTCTTTAAAACTGTGGCATAGCAATTAGGCAAAAGAAGAATTAAATGAATATGAATAGGAAAAGAAGAGCTCAAACTGTCCCTATTTGCTGATAACATGATTCTTTATTTAGAAGACCCAAAAAACTCCACTATAAAGCTTCTAGAACTCAAACAAAGTCAGCAAATTAGTAGGATATAAAATTAATATCCATAAATCAATTGCATTCTGATACATCAATGATGAATCAGCTGAAAGATAAATTAGGAAAACTACCCCATTCACAATAACTTCAAAAATAAACAAACAAACAAATAAATAAATAAAAACACTTGGGAATCAATCTAACAAAAGAGGTGAAAAACCTTTATGATGA